ATCTTTACTCTGATTTGGGCCTCTTCTCATCTTTCTTGGGGTTGAAAGTGAATTATAAAAAAAAAAAAATATCACAAGTGCTGAACATCTCTTTAAAACGCTGCACTCTCCAGGACCTTCAAGGCACCATTTAATTCCAGTGGCAGACGGCTGCACTCCCGTATCTAGGTATCCAATTCACCACGAACCACCAAAATCTGTATTAGCGAAATGATCCACTACTATACAAAATACTGTCTGATGATCTACAGAAATGGGCAAAAAACCCTCTGTCCTCGTTTGGTAGGCTGCACTCGCTCAAAATGAATGCCATACCACAGTTACTGTAACTATTCCATACATTTCCGATTTCTCCTAATCTATCTGACTTAAAGAAATTCCAACAAAAAATGATGGCATATGTATGGGGGGACAAGAGGCCTAGGGTGAGTAACTGCACTATGTTCTCTCCCAGGATACTGGGAGGGCTGGGGGTACCCAATCTATTCAAATATTTCCAGGGTGCTCAGTTGGCATCATTGATCTCATTTCATACAAATCATAGCTGCCCACTCTGGATACAGCTAGAATCACCTATTCTACCCATGAGATCGATCAGCCACCTATTATGGCTACCAGGCAAAGACCAGGCCCCAATTCATGGTCCAACGCTTTCTTTTTCCCTTGGCCTGTGAGACAAGCTGACCCAGAAACTTAAGTATAGTATCTTGTCAACTATTGACATCAAATTGCCATATATAGAAAAATGGGAACAGAATATGGGCAAAAACTACGATACTGTAGAATGGCATAAATTGGCCCAGAGAACCACTGCATCAATAATTAATACTTCCCTAATTGAAGCCAGTTATAAAGTATTGCTGAGGTGGTATCTGGTCGCGGCCAGGGTGGCTCATTGGGTACCGGGGGCCCCCCTCTGTTTTAGAAGGTGTGGTGAAGCAGGCACGTCATATCATATCTGGTGGACTTGCCTGAAGGATACACATTTATAACTTTATCTATTCCCTCACAGAATGAATTTAGCTAACTCTTCTAGACATGCACTGCTAGGCCACACTGTGGGAGCTCCTCAGACCACACAGCGTCTGATAATTTAAGTAAGAATCACTATAGCCAGGTCCTGGAAATCCCCCATGATACCTTTAGAGCTCCTAAAAGCTAAACTATCCTGCATCATGTTGAATGAACACCTTTCAGGTATCTTGCAGGATAAAATACCCCTGTTTTTTGAAGACATGGGACCCTTGGATCAAATACCTGACAGGCAATACTATTTATTCTGAACACTCGCTAGGCTGCTGGAGGGAATTGCTGCCACTACTTGCTCCACATTCCTTCATTTCCTTTCCTGTTCTTTAAAATGAAACTTTAGGTAAAATAATAAAAATGGGCAAACAGGCAGGAATTTTAATGCAGAAGATACATGCTTTGTCTCTTCTGCATTAAAATTACTTAAAATATTGGAAACGAAAATCACTCAGAACCCCAAAACATTAAATATATTTTTTGGCAGAGACCCTAGAGAATAAAATAGCGGTCTATGCAAATATTTACATCCTGCAGTATTTGCGCAGCAATTTTTCAAACAAAAAAAAAAAAATTATGAATTTTAATGCAAAAAAAACCCACAATATATAACCCAATTTTTTGTTAAAATATAACAGATATTACAGCAAGTAAATAGATACCAAACATGTCACACTTTAAAACTGCGCACACTCATGGAACATTGCTAAACTACAGTACTTTCCCTTTAACCTATTTTATTCCTATTCAAGGAATGTAAACACCCCTTGCAATAAGAATAAGGCATAACAGGTCTTCTTTATGGAGAGATGTGGGGTCTATAAGACCCCACATCTCTCCTCTATGCTGGAAAGCAAGAGATCAAAAAAAAATAAAATTGATCTCAGGCTTTCCAGCAAAAAAAAAAAAAAAGTCAGTGTTTACATCTGTCAGAGCTGCAAGTGACATTGTGATGTCACTTCCGGACTCCCAGAATCATAGAGACGGCCAGGGACCATCTGGTCTATGGCCAACACTATTGTAAACCTGCGCCACTGCTGGATCAGAACTCAGGCTCGCAATCGCACGTGAGAGCATGGAGAGGTGCAGTTGGGCGGTGGGGGGGACGTCCCCTCCCACTGCTTGTAAAAGCAATCCATCGGCTAATTATCGGCCGATAGGATGTCTTTTATGAAAGAGGGAATCGCTGACTAAAAGCAAAGATGCACTATATTGCCAAAAGTATTAGGATGCCTGCCTTTACACGCATGTGAACTTTAATGGCATCCCAGTCTAAATCTGTAGGGTTCAACATTGAGTTGGCCCACCCTTTACAGCTATAACAGCTTCAACTCTTCTGGGAAGGCCGTCTACAAGGTTTAGGAGTGTGTCTATGGTGTCAGATGAGAAGGCCTGGCTCACAGTCTCTACTCTAATTCATCCCAAAGTGTGCTTTTGGGGTTGTGGCCAAGATTCTGTGCAGGCCAGTCAAATTCCTCCACCTCAAACTCACTCATCCATTTCTTTATGGACCTTGCTTTGTGCACTGGTGCTCAGTCATATTGGAACAGGATGGGGGTCACCCCCAAACTGTTCCCACAAAGTTGAGAGTATGACATTTTCCAAAATGTCTTGGTATGCTGATGCCTTAAGAGATCCCTTCACTGGAACTAAGGGGCCAAGCCCAACCCCTGAGAAACAACCCCACAACATAATTCCCCCCTCCACCAAACTGTACACTTGGCATAATGCAGTCAGGCAAGTACCGATTTCCTGGCAACCACCAAACCCAGACACTTCCATTGGATTGCCAGACAGAGAAGCGTGATTTGTCACTCCAGAGAACACGTCTCCACTGCTTTAGAGTCCAGTTGCGGCGTGCTTTACACCACTGCATCCAACACTTTGCATTGCACTTGGTGATCTAAGGCTTGGATGCAGCTGCACAGCCATGGAAACCCATTCCATGCAGCTCTCTATATACTTTTGTGCAAATTTGAAGGCAACACAATGTTTGGAGGTCTTTAGCTATTGACTCTGCAGACCGATGGCAACTTCTGAGCACTGGAGCATGCGCTGACCCCGCTCTGTCATTTTACGTGGCCTACCACTTTGTGGCTGAGTTGCTGTAGTTCCCAGTTGCTTCCACTTTGTTATAATACCACTAACAGTTGACCGTGGAATATTTAGTAGCAAGGAAATTTCACAAATGGACTTGCACAGGTGGTAACCTATCACGGTACCATGCTTGAATTCACTGAGCTCCTGAGAGCGACCCATTCTTTCACAAATGTTTGTAGAAGCAGTCTGCATGCCTAGGTGCTTGATTTTATACACCTGTGGCCATGGAGGTGATTGGAACACCTGAATCCAATGATTTGGAGGGGTGTCCCAATACTTTTGGTAATATAGTGTATTTGGATGATGCCTATAACTGCAGGCATCATCAAGATATTTCCACTCAAACCCAAGGACGTCATATGACATCTACCCGGTAGCAAGTAGTTAAACCTTAATTCAACTTTTAGTCAGCCCTAATGTACTCTTCTTTCCATTTATTTTGTTCATTTCTGTTTTTTGGTTTAATTTGTTAATTTTCTTATCATGTAATCTCATTATCTGATTACTTGAAATAAAGTTGGATTCATGAGCAAAGTATATTAGTGCTGCCAGTCCATGCAAAAAGATTGATACAGTTCTGCCCTGGCCATTTGCGTTTTAAATTAAATCTAAATCGGTCAGAAGTTAAATTACAGCTATTCGATTGCCTGCAGATTTGGTTGTTATGATCAAATCACAGCTCCACTGTATAATAAAATCAAAGCGTGTATGGCCACCACAAAGGGGGCACACAGCAATAAAAACCTGACTGTTTCAATCCCTCTCCACTCTATCCAAAAAAACAAAAACAAAGTGCTTTTAGTTATACACTAACAAACGGAAGAACATAATTCTTTCAGTGTAATTATCAGAACATTTTCTGTCTGCCAAATTAACAAGGAACCCTATTAGACAAGTTCTGTGTGCCAGCTGTACCAAATCACGCTAAAAGTGACACGCAACAGCATTTATAAATATCTGATAGCGCTTACCAAAATATTCAAATGCTTGCGCCAATATTCCGAGGTAAAAATCGTTCTAAAAATGTACACCATTACCAGAGTGGGGTAACTATTGTGGGGGGGGGGGACATGACGAGGGAGAGAAGAGGTGTGTATGGACGGACAACGCAGCATTGTCGTGGAACAAATTGTTATTACACAGGATTTATAGAGCACCAACAATTTGCGCAGAACTTTTCAAAATTAAGGGAAACAGTTCAGATCAAGGGTGGACTGACAACTCATGGGGCCCCCCCCTGGAATATAGGGGATCATGGGGCCCCTGTGTCCTTGGCCAAACTCAAAAAAGCCTATGAAAAAGGTACTAGGGGCATCTCATGGGGCCCCCTACTGACCCCAGGACCTCGGGCAGTGCCCAAGTTTCCAAATGGTCAGTCCGCCCCTGGTACAATAGAAAAGGACCAGGAAATGAATGATTGCTGTGTCACACTTTAGTTTATTCATGGCATAATACACTAAGTATTTTTTCTCCATGGAGCAATCTTTTTAATCACCACAAATAAGTAAATGAAGATATTACTGAAAGTGTGCTCAGTATATACACATCGTTAAGCCTATCCAAATTGGAAAAAAAAACAGATACTGTCTATTTGCAAAGACTTCTGTCCAATCATGTGTGGGCTGTGCATAAGAGCATGTATCTGTAAATGTTCCTAAAGTGTATAGATCATTTACTATATATTGTAACAATACTCAGCAGCAGCAGCCTTCCAGATTGATCATCCTCACACACATATGACACATGGATGGCACACTCACCCCGCAGACCCATACTCTATCGGTGCACTATGCTGGCTCAGCAGACATCCATGACAGCTGCTATGGCAACAACCCAAGCTGCCTCTCCAGCCCGCCCCCTGATGGTGCGCTTACCTCGCGGTTCCCGCAGAAGCCTTTGGATTGTGTGCACAGACGGGGCTCTGGAGTGTGACCCCCCTCCCCCGACATACAACCTCCTCCCGGGAACAGCCGCCGCTCTCCTACCAGCTAAGCCTGAAACAGCCTCCGCAAAGCTGTTCCATCGCCATGGAGACCGAGACGGGTGACGTCACCTCGGATCTCGCGAGAAGTAGCGAAAAGAGCTGTTGTGTGCAGCTGCCTATGGAAAAGGGAGCGATTGATTGTAGTGCACGTGCAGGAGAGGAGGGGGTGGCTGTTAGATGTGCTGATGATTTCTTGTAAATAGAACGACTGACTGGACAACTATGGCTTATTGTGATAATGGGGCTCATTTTCTATGGGAGCCGAGAATCTTTTGACCAGGGCATGAAAACACAACTATTTAAACGGAGCTGGCTTACAGTAGAACTATAGGCAAAACATTTTTCATTTTGGATAGCGTAAGGGAGGGTTATACCCCCTGTAAGGTTTAGTTTTATCATGTTTGTCCCATTGGGGAGATTTCCCTTGACGTCCTGTCCCATAGCCAAACAGGAAGTGAGAGGAAATCCCTGCAAATTAAGGGAATCTCTTGGGGACCCCACAGGTCACCATAATTAGTGTCCCCACTGAAACATTTTCCCTCAGTTACTTTTCTGGGGACAGCCCAAAATTTGGGTTTTACTTTTGCTTTCCATGATAATGGTAAACAGGACAAATAGAGTGAATCTCCTTAACGGGCACAGAGGCCGATACAAAGCTAATAAATTTAAATGTGGTACGCTAACTCTTCAAAAAACAAAAAAGCCCATAGAAAGCAATAAACATCAGTCAACAGTTATAGGCTTCTTTTCTTTTGGACGTTCTTATAGGGCCCGTTTGCCTGTTTTTCAGGCGGACCCAATCCGCTCTTCTATGGAGCGGCGGGTGTAAACGGACAGCCAATCCAATCTGACCCGCAAAAAAGGGACAGATGGGGATCCAATTCCCCTTCTGTTCATCGGATCAGGTCAGAATGAAACAGGCAGGTGGTCCGTTTTCATTAGAGGAGAGCGAGTTACTCTGTAGCAGTGGAGTGGACACAGACCTGTCATCCGCCTTGCTCAGGGGGGATTAGCAGAGAGATTCCCCGCTGAGCGAGTGGATCCGCTAAATGGGTCTGCCCATGTGAAAGGACCCAAAGTCTGTGTAAAATAGTGATCAAATCCCAAATTAAATGTCCTAATACGGTGCTTTATAAAGTGCTTGACATCCGCTTCAGTCGAAAATGCTTCCCTTGTGGACACTCCTTGCTCACCTTATAATTAGACCTACATAGTGGCATAGGTCAAATGTGCTTGTTGTTTAATGTTGTCCTTCATGCTGAAACTAGTCTGTTCTAATTCCCTCAAAGCATATCTTCACTGCTTGTGACTCCAAACATGCAATACCAAAAAACAAAGAACAATTTGTAGTGCAACACCGTTTTAGTAAACAAAAACAATAAAAATAAAAGTGCATTCACAATAAACAAATATCAGTGTGCTTAACACCAAGTGTTTCAGTGTTCAAACCAACAGTCCTTCAAAGAACTAACAATGCTCATGGTGTGTAATAGCACCCCCCAGGTCCCATCTCCTGGAATGCTAATGGTCCATAGTTCAACCCAAGGGGCAAACCTGCAATCAAAAAAGAGAACAAGATAAACATAAAAGTGTTGCAGAAAACATGAATGTATAAACATTACAATACCATATAGAACAAAATGTTATATGCATCTGGCCAAGCAAATAGAAGACACTGCATAAACAACTATATAGGAACCAATATTGCTGTATTTTCAAAAGGACAGGGTCATCTAATAGGGAATTCCTAAGATTATCATCACCTAATATATAAATAAACCTATGAGGCAAGCATTAAGAAAAAGAAATAATGATACCCAAGTCCCAGGGAGACCTTATTGAAAAGATTGCATATTTTATAGGGTCCCTGGATCAGGTATGGATCTTTTTTTTTTTTTTGGCAAATAGCTGTTTATTCAGAAGGAATACAAGAAATCGAGTAACATTCCATAACATAAAATCATGTAGAACATTACAAAATTATCTAGCTAAATGATAAGGAGAATACAGGCATGGGAAACAATGGAAAAGTAAAATGTACAAGTGAGGACAGTACAGAAACACATGTTCATATCAGTAATGGAATAGTAACCACAATCATTATTAGGTGAGGCACATCAAGAACATAAGACAAATAAAACTAAACTAAATATCACCAAACAAACAAAAAAAAAAAATTAAACACAAAAACCTTTTCCCCCAATGCCGTAAGATTGCCTTCTTGGTACTAGAGAAGGACCCATGAACCATTGACAGGAGAGCAACTTCAGGAGAAGCTTGAATATTGGATATACACATTGTGTTATAAGAAACAAAGACTTTTTGCCAGAAGGCGGAGATCAGGCGGCATCCCCACCATCCCGTGTATGCAAGAAAGATCTCTCACACTCTCCGCACCTCCAGCACATCCTAGGCAGAGAAGGAAACATACAATGCAAATCTAACGGGGTCCTGCACCATAAGGACAGAATTGTGTAGATTTTTTCTTAAAAAAAAAAAAAAAAAAAAGGCATAGAGAGTTTATGAGTAAATATAAAGCACTTCTGCCAATTGTCCTATGTAGGGAGGCTTCCTACTTAGCAATAAACAATGGGCCATTTTGGAAGTTTCACCTCCCAGCAAGCTATACAACAGAATGGCACAAGAATGATAGTGAGGATCAGTTTTAAGACGATTAAAAAAATGGTTAATTGTATCATAGAAAGCCAATTACAGTGTGCTGATGTAACCGCCGGAAAATGGTCGATGGCCAGTTTGAGCACAAAAGAAAGACAGTGGAATGGGTTCGTAGGCCAGAGTCAAAAGATAGATTATGGGGATCAAGGGGTCTTTATGTTGGGAAAGTATATGAGGGATGACAAATCTGTCCCAGATTGAGAGGAGATGGTGAACCAAGAATGGTAGGGTGGAGGGATGGGGGCATTGAGCACGAGGAATCCTGGGTAATGCCCGTAGAACAAGAGAAGAGGGCCTGTTCCAGTTGAACTATGCATTTATCAGAAAAATTGTAGAACCAAGTAATCTATTAATTGGGAAGACCCAGGCCTCCTGCCTCTTTGAGTTTCATGAGGACCACCAGTTTCAGGCGGGGGTCGACGAGATCTCCAAATAAAGTTGGATAAAGAAATGTTTAGGCACAACAATAGTGATCACACTGAAAATATAGAGAAATTGTGGTAGGATGTCCATTTGTAAGGCATTAATGCAGCCAAACCAAGAGAGAGGTCTAGATTGCCAATGATAAAAATCTCTGGACACTTCAGACAGGAGTCTCTGCTAGTTTAGTTGATAAAGGTTTGCATGGTCCAAAGCAATGCGCATCGCCAGGTAAGTGATATAATGACATTTGAGTTGGAAAGGGAACTCCCTCTGAAGCTGAGTTAGGACATGATATGGGAGGAAAACAATCAAAATTTCCAATTTGGAAGGATTTACTTTATAGTTGCTAAAATCACCAAATCTTGTGCATTCATGACATTAGGAAGGCCAAGTGATGGTTGTGTCAGGAACAGGAGAAGGTCGTCTGCAAAAAGCGCCAGTTTATGAGACCCCTCTCCTATTGGGACCCCTTTGATGGAATCATTAGCCCTAAGAGCTACAGCTAAGTGTTCCATAACTAAGACATATAAGAGATGAGACATGGGACAACCCTGTCAGGTGCCATTTTGAATGTTAAATTCAAGTCTGAAAGAATGCTATTAGATTGTATCCTGGCTGAGGGATTGTTATGCATGGCTATAATTTTGTGGACTAAAGTATCACCTAAGCCAATCTGGCATAGTGTGGATTCCAGAAATGGCCAGCAGTGACCAGGGAAAGGGGGATATGTTTAGATTTGGCAAAGTGTACAATGTCGAGAACTCTAGTGGTATTGTCTTTGGCTTCCCGGGATTTAATTAAACCAACTTGGTCACCATGCATCAAAGAAGGTAGATGAGGTTGTATGTGATTAGCTATGAATTTGGCAAAGATTTTTGCATCAAGATTAATGAGATAGGTCTATAACTCCTGCAATGTGTCAGATCTGTACTGGGCTTAGGAATAAGAGTGATGTGGGGTTTGAGAGTGGAAGGGTTATTGGGAAGAAACATAATTAAAAGCCTGCAGGAGAATAGGGGTAAATGTACCACTAAAAACTTATAGAATGTGACAGAATAGCCATCAGGGCCAAGACTTTTATTGCTCGGCAAAGATGATATTTAGAGATGAGCGAATTATTCAAAAATTCGGTTCGGCTGATTCGCCGAATTCGCCGAAAAAATTTGATTCGATCCGAATATATTCGCCGCGAATTTAACTTATAAAAAGGGTGTTTCTAGGCTTCAGAGAGCCTTTATATTAGTGCAGAACACTGTACCTTTAATTTAAATGCCCTTGGAGTCTGCTGGGGAAGAGAAATAATACTGTCAGTCAGTATGACATGCAGATGAGTGCCGTCGATCTTAGAATCACCGCACACTTCACTCATTTGGGCAGTCACGGGGCCAAAACCAGAGTGTGGAGCCACAGTGTGGCGGTGGAGGCAGCAGCAATGGGAGGCCATACAGCACCCTATGAAAAAATGGAACCCACCAGCAGTGTGAGGAGACCTGAAAGTGGCACATGGCAGAGTGTGGCGATGGAGACAGCAGCAATGGGAGGCCGTACAGGGACCCATGACACACTCTGGACCTGGCAGCAGCATGAGGAGGCGGTACAGGGGCCCATGACAGATTACGGGCCTGGCAGCAGCATGAGGAGTCGGTACGGGGGCCCATGGCAGATTACGGGCCTGGCAGCAGCATGAGGAGGCGGTACAGGGGCCCATGGCAGAGTGGCGGAGCGTAAGCAGCTAAAATTGAAGGCCATACAGAGGCCTATGTTAAAAAGTCCCCCCAGCAGCAGCGTGGGGAGACAACTATCAAGAGTCCAATGGCAGAGTGGCGGAGCAGAAGCAGCTTCAATTGAAGGCCATACACAGGCCTAGGTTAAAAAGTGGAAGCCGTCAGCAGCGTGAGCAGACGACAGAGACACATGGCGCAGGGTGGCGGTGGATGCAGCA